ATACAGATGCAGCCAGTTTCTATCTTTCAGTAAGCCACCTTCTCTGTTCAGTGCCTTCAGCAGTTTCAGAAGTGTAATGTAAGAACAACCTTGGGAGACAGGAGGAAGAGCCACAGCCTAGACAACAGTCTGATAAGAGACACCTGAGTCCAAAGGAGGGGTGGGGGTGGAAAAAACGTTTCAGAAGGGACCCTCCCTAGTTTTCTGATAAGTAAAGGCTGGGGGGAAAAGCTGACACCCCCCATTCTGAAAGATGGATTGTTCTATCCTTTGAACCCTCTGGGCCATGGAAATAAACAGCCCAACCCCTCTTGTGGTCTACCTCCTCTCCTTCCAACTTGAGCATTGAACTGATGAGAGCACTAATATGGTATGAAAAAGTCATTGCACATCCATGTGTCCTGAAGAAGAATAAATCAAATTGTGGAGTAAACTTTAGGACAGCGGGATCTTTATTTTTTCACAACCATCCTGCTATATTCCAGGAGATGATGGTCATTCTCAAGAAGCAAACAGGTGGGCAGAGACCACTGCTTTGGTTTAAAACATATTAACCTGAGCAAGAAGAAGGGAAGGGAGGGTAGACAGCAGATGCTGGAAGGCCAGAGAGATGGTGAGGGAGAAAACTTGCCAGCTTGCCAGGTGATGGGAACTTGGCACATTCTCAAAGCTACAAAGATGCCTACTGATCCAAAAATTTGCCTATATTGTAGAATAACAATTCCACAGTCACTGAATACAAGAAGCCAACAAGTAAAGAAAAACGTTTAATGTATACAGGCAGATTTACACAATTATACAACTCTAGATAACCACAAGATGGCAGCAAAGAGATGCCAAAAGTCTACTTTTAACTAATCTCTAGAGATCATCCACATTTTTAGACTCCAGATCCGGGAGCTGTGTTGTCAAACCCTTGAACCTTCCTGGACTAGCTGCAACAATTCATGGTTTGGGGAAGGTTTTCTTGCAAAACTCATCCCAGGAAATCCAGATTTCTTTGACAGTCAGCAAATGTCACAATTCATCCTTCCAGTTTCTGCCTGTCTTGTGCCTTGATGTGGAAGAACCAGAAGAGGAGTTGTGCAATTCATCCTTTGCAGTTTTGCTCAGGAGCTTTTAGAAAGTGTTTATTCAACTATCAGCCATACTTCAGAACAGAGATGATGTTGATATCTGCAAGTTGAAATCTGCTTTTCCTCAAAAGTCAGAAGATGATTTCTGTACAGCATGTGCAAAGAACCAGGAGCTTTAGGGATCAACTGGAATTCCCATGTTCCTTGTTGAAAGGATGAAGGGAATTTACATAATATCCTATCATATACTAAATAGTATAATTTCTCCTCATGCTTCTAGAACCCATATAATATGAATATTGTAATATGAAAACACCATCTTATATGCTGTGCCTCATAAATAGTAAATATTTTAGTTAGTCTTATCTGCTGTGATGGCATGCAGGCAAAGAATATGTGCCCATCATTGTGGTCTATTTGGTCCACAATGAGCTGGAAAAGAATATGTCCAGGAAGACCCTCAACAGGTACAACTTATTTAATCATTTGATAAAGATGCCCCTGATGAATCTATGTTTGATGCAGCTCTACAGGAGAAAGTCCTCCCCCACCTTCCATTCACCATAGTAATGTTGCAGGCAGAAATTCTGTAGGCCAACAAGAACATGCTGCAAGCAGAGCATATGCAGAATATACCCATCAGAAACAGACAATATACACTGATGGCACCCAAAATGAGTATGTTCAAACATAACAAGTGCACCTGAAGGTCACAGCTACTGATCTAATCCAAAAAGCAAAAATTGCTCGATATCAAAGCCTGTAAAGGAAAGACCTTCTTAAGAGATTGGTGGGATGATCAGTGGCAAGCTATGGTTAGGGTTAGCCTGCACTGTAGCTAATAAAACTAGATGTCTTGCACATAAAGATTAGAAAAATGATCCCTTTAGATCAGCTGTGATGTCCTTAAATAGCAACCTTATTGCCGGATAGTTCAAACAATTGCTGCTCCCTCAAATGTTACAAGCAATTAGGCAGCCCAGCCGATCAGATAACTTTCATATCAGAGTTTGCAAAACTGGGGCATTGAAATCCCACATATTTAACCAGTCCTGTCTCAAATCCATCTCATATACCTTGGAAATACATCCTTGGTCTTTTCCATGTATTCTTGCTAAGTGATGTGATGGTACAAGATTCACTAAGATAAATGGCACAATGTCTCAAGTAACTAGAGTTAATGCCTTTTATTAATAGTCAGAGGCTGTGTGTACCATAAAAATGCTTAACAAGTATTCAGTTTTCACTTTAGAGAATACTGACATTGATGGAAGTGGCATCACCTGTTCCTTTCTGTCTTTCATTCGTGCAGTTCTTAATACTCACAGCCTCTGATAATTAACTCAATCCAAAATATATGCCTAATATATCCGAATGGGCTTCTTAAACCCAGGATTGATTTCCCACAGTAAAACTATTCCCATTCTTTTATGTCAGTTTTCCATGGCTTCTCTAGCCCCATCATTCTGAGCCAGTATTCCCTGTGGTTGGGATGATAGGAGTTATAGTCTAATAATATAATAATAATATAATAAATGTGGTTTTTTTAATAAATTTTAACTATGCATTTATTTATTGTTTTAATCTGTTGTAAGCCGCCCAGAGTCCCTCATTGGGGGGAGATGGGCGGGGATAATAAATAAATAAATAAGTAAATACCTACTCTAGAATAGGGCTATCAGATCTGGGCTCCAAACATTTGGGTGATGACAGCAAAGAATTAAGAGGGTTTTTTGTATTTCTTTACTGCCATCTAGTGCTGATCCAATTTTTTGCAACCCAGATCTGGCAGCCCTAATTTGGAAGGCTTTGGGGAAAGCTGTTAAACTAAAACATGCTTTACCTATTGAATGATGGCTGTTAAAGACACAGGAGATCTGCCGAGAAGAATGTGGAATCCTATGCATATTTTCCTGGGAGAAAGCCCAGCTGAACTCTGAAAAGAAGCAGAATACATTGGGTGGGGGGAATCAGTTAATATATGTTACTGTCCTTGGTGACTTATTTCCTAAAATGAGTAAAATAGGAAAATACTTGGCTATTTCCAGGTTGAATGCAGCATCATTTCTATCAGTAGCATTTTGTATCTGGAAAGAAGTTGTTTCTGCCTGATTATGTCAAGCATGGGAGCACAACATGAAACCCTCCAGATGTTGCTGAGAGATGTAGCAATGTCCTTCACCTGTAAAAGCTTCTCTTAAGGGAAAACCAAAATGGTGGTTGGAGGCCACTGATACCACTTGTGGTGCTGCTGTAGGTTAAACAAAAAATACTTTAGATGCAAGCAGGAGCTGTCAATAATGGTGTTTATGCTACTACCATCATAAAATAACAACAAAAAGGTTTTAGAAAGCAAAACTAAAAATGATTGGGCAAAAGGGAACTCAGGCGGGCATCACTAATAGATCCCTCAAGGTACAAGCCCCAGTGTTGACCATAGAGGAGACAGTCCTCCAAGCTAAAACTCTCCTTTCTATTCTCAGTCAGTGCCCTAAGATTTGAAGAACATGTTTTATTTCAATCCCTAGGGCAGTGTTGTCTAAACTTGGCCACTTTAAGATGAGTGGACTTCAACTCCCAGAATTCCCCAGCCAGCATTCGGGCAGCATTCCCCATCCCAGAATTCTGGGAGTTGAAGTCCACTCATCTTTAAGTGGCCAAGTTTGGACAACACTGCCCTAGGGGAAACACTGACAGGAACTTTGCAAGCATGGATATTATATGTCCGTTCATTGATTGCTTTCTGTTGATTATCCTACTGCTGTGATTATTATACTCCTGCTGACCCCTACTCTGCACTGCTGAAGAGCTGAGTTGCTCCACACATTTCTACAAGGTCATGTTTATCACAGGGCTAGAAAGATTGGTACTTACCTATCCCAGGTTTGTGACTGAAAGCCCCTATTCATAAGGGAATCAGTGAATCTTAATTATTTGGGAGGAGTCAGCACACATGGGGATGAAACACTGGGGTTATAAAAGAGGAAGGCAACAGGGGTGGATTCTTGAGGTTTGTTTGGATGCTGTTGTAGGTACAGAGTGAGTGGCTTTTGTAGTTTTGTTACTAATCAAATGGTGGAATTGCGTGCAGGGAAGAAGTTTCAGGTTTGGAGTCTTGCCTTCAATCTGGAATTGCAAAAAAGTGAGTCTGAAGATGGTGTGCTATCGGGAAGGGGATGGCTGTATGGTATAACAGACGCTTGCTGGTGGTGACCTTTTCAAGACGCTTTTCAACCTTTAATAGCTGAGAGAATGACAATAATATAGCCTCAACTTTGGGTTGCATGGTGTTGGAGAAATAACCTGCCAAATATTGCCTTTTGCTAAATTGTTTGGTTCTTCAGCACTTGGAGAATGGATAAACATTGCAGACTTACCGTGACTAAAGAGTGGGTAAAATTTCCTCTTTACAGGTAGAAATGCTACGAATCTGATGGCTACATGAGCAGCCAGAAGCAAGCTAGCAAAATGCTTCCCCATCATAGTAACCTTAGAAAAACTTGGCTTGCTAAAAACACGGCACAGGTTAATCAAAACTGATAGCCCTTCATGGGGAAGAAATGTTTGTTATGGAGATTCTTTGGTTCCTGCACCGATGTACCCCATATAATAATGGATGCTTTCCCTTGAGTAGAGCTGTAGTAATAAGAGAAAAGAGCCTGTGGCTTTAAGTTCTGTGTTCTGATGCTATGAAATTGTCAAATGGCAACAGTGGCTGGAGGGATCAAACCCATGAAGCAGCTGGGATAGACATGACTGTATTATTAGCTGAAGGTTAAAATGCAGCTTGCAGGTAAATTGGTACCAAGATCTCAGCAGCAGAAATAACAAGTTGGGATTCTTCAACCACAGGCTGGGTTAATATATGGTTTGCTCCAGGAAAGACCTATTCAGCTTTTTCTTCATTTAGTGCTTTGTCTGTTACCTTTCAGAGTGAATCCATGGCAAATCAATCAAGGACATCCACTAAGCTCTCCCCCCGCTATTCCGCCCTGACTTTAGAGGACGAGGCACCGGCCCTGCTTTCCCGAGGCCGCTGTCCAGATGTTCGCTCTTCAAAGAGCTCCCAGCTTCACAAACAAGTTTCTGCCTCACCTCTCCACCCCAAGAGGCAAGCACACACAACGCAACTTAACGTGTCCCGATGCCGTCGCTCAGAAACCTTTCCTACACCAGATTCAATCGTGGTGTCTCTGCTACGAGCCCTGGCCCAGGCTGGAGTCCCGCTTTCAGAGGCAGAGTTCTTTGAGAGTCTTGTGCAGCAGACCGGTGCTAAACGATCACTCCCTTCCCTTGCACAGCTCCACCGTAGCTTTCTTCCTGCCCTGAGACGACGACATGAATTGGCTCTTTGCCATATCCTTCAGCATCGTGATGCCTTTGTCTTCCTTCATGAGGCTACCACTGGTGATGGGCGGGCAGCCCTTGGCCTCTCCCTTCTGCCTCTTGATAGACTTGGGCAGTCTCCACTGCTTCTTGGGGTTGAGATCCTGGAACAGTTGAGCCATCCACTAGTGGCCCGTGCCGTTGCCCGAATGCTGAGTGAAGGACATGTTTTGTTCCACCGGGTACTGGCTGTGGTCACTTTGGGAAGTGTGCCTATGATCCAGGCCTTTGCTGCAAATGGGATTTTGGGTGCAGTGTTACCAGCTGCCCTCCATGTTCCCTGCTTGTTCCATCAGCTGGAGTTGGTGATGGAGCTTTGGCAAGATAAATTAGAAAGGCTAGTTTCACTGCAGCTCCTTCTGGAAGAGACACTTGGACAGCGTCCAACCCTCCGTCATCGTTATGAACTATTCCTGAAAGAGCATGAGTTGGAGCTGTCTGTCCCTGTGTCCAGTATGTGGGCTGGCCCAGAGGTTTGGCTGGAGAAAGTCATAGGCATTGCAGAACATCTGTCTGTTCTGAGGGAATTTGTAGTGGCTGATGAAGTAGAGGGACCCCTCATGGCAAAATTGCAGAGTGTCCTGGTGGAGGACAATAAGGAACTTATGGCAGAAGCCACTTTTGTAGCTGAACATGCCCTAGGTCTGTTGAACATGGCACAGTTTCTCCACCAGACAGGTGAGCCACTGGCCCACCGAATCTATGGAGAACTGGATTCCTTGCGGGTTTCTTTTTCCTACCACTTAGATGCAAGACTGGGTCCCAAGACAGAACAGCAGCTGGCTCTGTGCCCACCTCAGCTTGCAGAACAGTTTCGTGGAATCTTAGCTCAGAGCCTGAGTCGCCTGGAGCGCTTGTTTGACTCTCACCCTGCTATGCCCACCTTGAAAGCAGTGCGGGCGCTTGATCCCAAGCAACTGGGGGCTGTAGGGTGGAGCCAGGTAGACCATGAGCAGGGGATTCCCGGCCTATCAGAGGTGCCAGAAATGGAATGGTTTCGGTATCAACATTTGGCTGAAGCAGCTCCTGCTGATGTCTCCCTGCCTCAGTGGTGGGAGGCACAAGCAGAGCAGCTTCCTGTGCTGAGCCCCCTGGCCCGGCGATCCCTCTGGCTGCCTGTTTGTGCTCCCAAGTCTCCCTTCCTCCCAGGAGGCTTCCTCAACCTAACAGTGCCCGAGGACGGCTTTACAGAGGAGAGCGCACGTCTCTTATGCATGCTCAGGTATAACCGCAAGCTCCTTTAATTGACTCCTTCTATGTAATCTATCCAAGACTGGACAAGGTTCACTTGGAATGGTCCAAAACCTCTAGGGTTTTCTTCAGGTCTACCGCTAGAATTTCAGAAATTTTCTTGATCACTAGATGGAAAGTCATAAACTAGCCTGGTGTGAACTAATAAAAATCTCATCTGCATCAAATGTTTCTTGCTCCTTCCCTTTTCTGGTGGTGAAGAATAAATGGGGATCACAATGCAAGTTGGGGGACTGAGTATTGCCACTACGGTGGGAGTCGAAAATGTCTATGCCTGAAAATAATAGGTACCATTCAGTTGGGTTGTCTCTTGGTGATTTTATGGACACCAGCTTGAGCGGTTGCCTTCTACTTCCCTCAACCTTGTCAATCCCTTTTTTTCAGTCCCTCATCTACTTCCATCACATGTCCAAAGGTTCTAGTTAAAACTCAATACAGCTGCCAGCCCTTGCATCTACCCATTCACATGGCAATGCTTTCAGAAGTAGGAGCCCTGGCCTTTCAGCAGTGCTGTAATCTGACTGCTGGCCAATGGATGGAGCTTCTGAGTCACCCTCCAATTCTTTAGCACCTACACCAGATACTCCTTGCTCCAACAGAAAGCAGGGAGAGTTTCCAAAGAAAGCTCCTGAGTTTGAAGAAGGGATGTTCGAAAAGGAAACTGTATGCCTCTGGTAATCTACTTTGTCATGAAAACAAATTCTAGCGTAATATTTGCATCTGAAGGTAGGTCTTGACAGATGCTTCCTCCATTGCTAGTTGAACTGGTGCTGCTTAATGGGTCACAAGCACGGCCGCCTCTGATTTCTGTAAAGAAATGCAGACCTTCCATAGATTCAGACAAGATACAGAAAGCCATTGAAAAGATTTCTAAAGAGCAGCCTGCTGCACTGCATCTGATTAATCTCTCTAATGCCTGATGAACAGAAATTAATCCAGCGTTTCTCAACTTTGGCAACGTGAAGATGTGGAGACTTGAACTCCCAGGATTCCCCAGCCAGCATGATGACTGTCATTCTCCATGTCCCATCAGGCTTTTTCAGAGGCCATACAGGGGAATTGAAAGGAGAAACACTCAAAATCCCTACCTCCAAAAGCCCCTGTATGATTTTAGGTAATTCTTGATGCCCCCAGGTAGCTGGCATTGTTTAACATTTACTGGCTTTTCAGGTGGGGGCATTTTCAAAGGCATTCATTTTGCTCTACCCACTAAAATTGCTCGAATTCCAAAGGCAAAATGGCCCACTGGAGTCTAAAACTCTCGTCCGGGTAATAAATCAAGTCCAATAATGTATTCAGGGACATGAGAGATCAGTACAGTTGCCCAGAAGGGAGCTGACTGCCCCAAAGCCAACTGCAGCTGTATCTATGTAGTGCTCTCTTCCCTATTTCCATATGCATTAATGCACACAGGTGCTTGTTAGGATTCTCACGTATGACTCTCACTTCTGATCCTGCAGCCATAAGGGCCAATACCTGTTGTATCTTACCATGAAACTAGTACATTGTTAATAGTAAGTAAGGGTGCTGGTCTCCAGGGATAGATGTCTTGATTAGCCTTACCACTGGAGCCTTACCACAGCCCTAATCCAGAGGCTGGGGCATCTCCCATCCCCTTCTGCCTCTTCTAGGTTACAGAAGGATAGAATTGCTCTTCAGGTGGGGCTGTCAGAGTGGTTTCTCTCACTTGTGCATCTCCTTGAACTTCTTTCTGGTTAGTGGCACATTTCTGTTTCCACATTTTGTACAACTCTAGGGTTGAAAGGCCATGTATGTCTGCTTTTGGCACCCCTATTTTAAGAAGGGCTCTAAACAGTTTGCTCCATGTTATTTTATTGTTGAATTCTCGCATCTCAACACTTTATCCCTCTTTAGCCACTCAAGTATGAGGTTTGGGAGCATTTTCTCTCTGTACATCTCCTAATTGTCTTATCAGCACTACAGCCTCCCCCATGGTTGTTCCCTGTGCTGAACCCAGTAATGCCAGCAAAGGACCACGCATACAGGAAGGGACCCCTTTCATGAAACGTGCCCTCATCCCAGTGGTGAACTTTGAACGTCAAGTCCTGCAAATCCTTGCTGGTAAATCCCTGCTTGCATAGCCATTCCTCTTAACTGATCTGTTGCTTCTTCAATGGTATGCCATGAAAGCATCTGTTCTTCCCAGTCCATAGCAGCAGGGTATCTGGCTTGTATGGCCAGCACACACCAATCAAAGACCCTGCTGCAGCCATATTAGGAAGCTCAAATATTGATTAATCAAGGTGTCTCTAGATAATGCCCCCAACTTAACTAATTCCTCTCCAGTTAGGTAAAGGCTGCTGGCTCCCTGATCCCACAGTCCTACTAACCACTAGCTTAGCCTTTCTCCTGCCTTCTGCCTGTTAGTCTTGGATATGTCAGCTAGCTCCTGCTGAGTGTAATCTCTGACAGTACATGTTGCCTGAGCAGCCTGTGGGTTGCCAGGTGGCCCCTCAGATTTATTAGTAACCAAAGGTAGTGCCTACTTATCTCCTTCATCCTCTCCTTCTGTCCAGCTGGATTCCTCATCATCAGAATCCCACATATTTCCATCCCAGGTTTCTGGATTCCACTCCCAGGATGAGATAAGAGTTCTAACTTTGTGAGGGTTAGGTATGCACCCTTTCTTTACTTGTTTGCAATGTTTTAATTTTGCAAACCAAACAGCCATGATTGTGGCTCATTTCTCTGCTAAATCGCCCCTCTCTTGGGCACTTCCTGGTGCCTCCCTCAAGAGACCCTGCTGATCTTTATAAGCCATCATGTCATCAGCTTGCTGTTGCACCTTCCTCTGAGTAGCTTCTAATTCTTCCCACACATCATGGAGTGCAGTAAGAAAGATCCATCCCAGTTCCCCCACTGCCTTCTGCCCCCTTTCTCTCCCACCCCAAAGAACTGCATGCATCTTAGCATTGCATTGGGAGTTGAATTTCCAAATTGTGCCAACTCAGTGGGAATTTGGCCAGATGCATCTGTGGTTTGAGTTATGGCAACTTACTCACCTTATATCCTTCATCAGGATGAAGAGCATAGGGGCTTCACCCT